TCTTTTGTCTTTCAATATAATCACCCTGTCCTCCTGGAGCCTGTTTCTGCTCCCAGCAGTAAGCAGTCTGCATTGTGCTGAAAGCAGTCCTTGCTGCAATTGACCTGAGGGCTGTGTGTTCTGTGTGGGTGCAGGTGGGGCTACATGCTGGAGCCTGAGCCGGGCAGTAAGGAGGCTGAGCTGGTGGATGTCCTGCGCCGACCCAGGGACTGGGTCTAGACCTCTGCTGTGTCACCCCACCCATCACCACTCAGGCAGACTGTGGGGAAACGCAAAATGTGTGTCCGAAATTACGCAATACCATAGGTTAACTTACTGTAGTTGCATTTGTTAAAAGTCTTTCTGTCCCAAAATAAATTCTTTTTACTTTGGAGAAGTATTTTGAAATACTGTGTGACCTGTGTCATGGTCTGGATGTGCTGAAGTCAGTGTTCCTGAACTGGAAAGGAAAATGTTAAAGATTGTTTAAGTGCCTATGGCCTACAAATGGTTGCGGCTTTCGTTGCTACCTTCTAAATACAGAATTGTAAATGTGTACTTTGGAACATGGTTCTTATAAACCATTTAAATAAACTGTTCTCACTTTTCAATTGACTTGTGGTAGACTGATATTTTTTGTTATTATTTAATAAAGTTCTATGATGGAGAGAGAAGAGAATCTGTAGATCTTTTGCACCCTTACAACACAATGAATAGCATTTCTTTTTTTCAATTTCTCCTTGATCTTTCTTAAAAGCTATTCCTTTAAAATGCTTCATCAAGTACACATTTGATTAGGGGTGTATTTCTTAATATATCTGACAATGGTCTCACAGCTGTAACACACATTTCACACGTTAGCAGTGCTGGGTCCCCCAGACAATACTCTTATCAAACCCTTGTTCCTTATTCAGACTGGTTCTTCCCTGAATGGCTTCTTCAATAATCTCTTCTGCCACCAGGTCACTTTAGTCTCCATGGGAACCAGGATGGGAGAAAGTTATGGCATCATCGTTGTAGGAAGGGGAGAATGACACCCCCACTCTGCAAGGGATAGATCGATGACCGTCTTGGGGTCACTGCTGCTTTTGAAGTGAAATACTTCAATCATAATGCAGATTCCACTAACCGGATCATGGTATTCACATATGAAAGATGTTTCAAAAAGACAATTCTATCTTTTGGCTCATGTTCATAAGATTTGCAAATGTTGTGCTATATGTGGAATTTTGTTATAGAATAAAAAAATAAAGCATTTTATCATATTACCTTCCCTGTAAACACTTTAAAATCCTGTTTAGTCACATACAACCCAGTATTTTGCAGATTTATCTTAAAAAATGTTATAAAACTACTTTTTGAACAGTTCCAGTTCAACCTTAGAGCACCATACCACAAGACAACAAATAAAAAAATAACCTTCAACTATCTTTAACCCATAAACAAGTATAAATTCTTAAAATGGCATTAGGCTGGGCACGTTCGGTGTGGAGGCATTGACCTAAATGCCACACTAGGAATTAAATAATAAGGGGATAAATCCTTGAGCATGTCTTTTTATCTTAATCTATCTCTTAAAGTTTCAGTGATGCAGCTTGTTAGTTCACTTTGGAATTCAGTTAGGCAAAGAACTCTTTTGGAATGAGAACCAGCAGGTACTGTTTGTGAATCCCCCATTAACAGGGTTCAAGAATCCAACACCATTCAGTGCATGTACTGCAATGCTCCTTTTTATCACCACGATTTGTTACAGCCTAATGTACAGTTTGTCTTGCCTCTTTTGTTCTGTTAATGTCAGAGCTGTAGCAAGTGCAAATCCCGTTATTACGCAACCTAAGCAGTGTCCTGCGTCTGTGCTGTGTATAAGCTTGAGCCAGCTTCCAGATGAGCCTGAGGCCTCCCTACAGCTGTGTCCTGCCTACATGTGTTCTGGCTATTACTATGTTTAAATATATTACATTACATTCAGTGCCTTTCCGTAAGTTCTGGAACTGAAATCTAATGGTCATTCTGTTAAATTACTATCCATCAGGAAGATACTAGGATCCATGTGAAGTTAGTGTAAGCTAGTGTACCAGAGCAGGTCCTCACCACTTGATGATGGTGTATTTCATTTCTATCAGCAATTTAAGATATGGTAAGCATTACTGTAAACAATGACTAAGTATTACTGTTAGCATTTCTAAATTAATATATGCAAGGATTGTCAAAACCAATTACTGATTGAATACAGCGTTAGTGTTGAGGACAACAGGAAGGCTTTTCTGAACTGCCTGGCTTTCAGAAAGCTGAATTTCTGGTGCTATGGACAATGAGACTTTCTAAGAAACCCTTTAATATCTAAAGCTAAAGCTGTCTGTTTTGCATTTCCTTTTTTTCTTGCGATACTGCTTTCTTTTTTATCGTCCCCATGTAAATCATCAGCTTCGTGTCTGAAAACAGTCCCAGTAGGGTGGTGTAGAACCTGGTGAGGAATAACACAGAAAAGCTCTATTAGACTTGTAAGAGATTGGGGTTTTCTATTTGTTGTAACAATCACAAATTGTAATAGAACATTGCGAGAGTACTTGACAAATTTTAGGAACCAATCAAATAAAATAATTTATAAATGGTGAACCACATTTATGTTCCTGGACACTAGTAAACATGCATTTACTATTGGGAACTAAACATCAAACATGTGTCTGCAATAATAGATCAGCTCTTGAGATTTATTTTGTGAATAATATTTAACAACTTTCTTGATGAGTCTTGATGGCTTCGGTCTTTTAAAACAGTCTGCGCACAGTTTGATTTCTTGAGGTGCGGCTGCCAGTTAGACAATATGGGAACTTGGTTCGTCCCGGCTATAGCTCCACTCCGAATATGATCAGATATTCTGGATGTTGACACAAAGAAAGAGTCCAACTATCTAATTTCGTTGGTCAGGGGAAAATAACAGTGGGTTCTTGAAGATTTCTTGTGTTTCAGGAAGAATATCTTGGGCAGAAATCTGTACCTTAGTCACTCTCTCAGCCTGGCTATTTGGAGAAACTCCTGACTCGGACTGCTCACAGTCACCTTGTTTCAAAAGTCATATTGCCAGTTAGATGGAGAGACATTAAAATAGCCAATGCTTAACCTGTGACAATGAACTGTTTCCCAGGTTATGTGAGACAAAATCACCCATTAAGAACACTTTATTGGCCATATACAATTTCTTGCATTAGGAATTAATCTCTTTACGTATCCCAGCTTGCTCTCCATGAGACACACAGACAGGGAGAGAAGCTGGGGGTCAGAGCACAGGATCAGCCACTTATACAGCACCCCTGGAGCAGCTGGTGTTAAGGGCCTTGCTCAGGGACCCAGCTGAGTAGGACTCCTCTGCCAGCTGTAGGATTTGAACCAGCAACCTTCAAATCATAGGTGCAGATCCTTAGCCACAGTGCCACCACTCCGCTGGGGACAAGAGGAAATCACCAGTTGACGATTGGCTGAGATGTCATCAGGTACCCATTCTGGTACCCACCCTACAGATTGGTTGATTGACTGATCACAGCCTATGACTTTAATATCAGGTGCAGATGTGCCATTGCACTCCATTAGACGCCCAGGAGCCAGCAGTGGGCATCCATCATGGGAGTTTAGATGGTCACTGTCCTGGAGAAGACCATTATCCAGAGACAAACACACTGCCCTTACTTGCACACATGCAAAGACCGCTAGGTCATTCTGTGGCTGAGATCACAAAGAGGGGCCTCTTTAGCTACATTCATGTGCTTTTAGAGACAGGCAGAAGGCCTCACCGTCAAAGCACACAAAGACGATGAGAAATCTTTAACAACACTAAATTCCAAGTGAAACAATAGGCCTTGTCGCTACAGCCTTAGTATCACTCCATGAGCAATTTTGCACCTCATTTTCACTTTTCCCTTCTTTGTTAATCAGCCAATCAAGCTCTTTCACTAAGTTGTCTTAACATTCTTCTGGCGTTTTGTTACCAGACGTATTCTTTTCATCCTTTCTTCTAATTAAGCACATTTATTTTAAGTAGAAAGAAGAAGAAAAAATATTTTAGGCTCTTGAACTCGGGATACAGAATTCACCACCACTTAGTTCAAGGAAAATCTAACATGACAGAACTTGGAGCAGGTGAGCGCAGATGTAAGAAATATCCCTAGGCTGGTTAATTAAGAATGGTGTACCGGTGAGGAATTGCTTTTCAGATTACTTGTTTTTTTTAAATTAGGAAAGTACTCACAGTATTTGGAATAATTGAAATATTACACTTGACATGTCTGCTTTGCATAATTATTCAGTAATAGGAAAGTAATAACAACATCTGACAACTCTTTCTTGTCTAACATGCAAATCCTTCTTGGGAAAGAAATGTCCTTTAATCAGTGCTTCACCTTCTCACTTTTTTCCTCTTAAGTGTAAATTTAAAAAAAAACAATTTCCCTGAAACCCTTTTCCACATGAACAGTAACCACACCTGTGTGTTTTCTGCTGGCGTCTTGCAGTCCACATGAAGAACTTGACTCACTGATTGAAAGGACCTGGAGGGAGACAGAAAATTCTCCCAGGTTCCTCCGATTCCCTTGTAAAACTACAGTCCCTGATATTCCCAAAGAATTCCCATAGAATTACAGTCTTTACATGTCAGGAATTTGAGCCAAGCAGCAACACTGCTGGTGAAGATCTAGACCAAGATTAATGAAACTAATGGTTAAGAAGTCTTAATATACTGTAATTGTATACAAAATTTCATTATTATCAAGCCTTTATCCATAATTGAGTTAGATGAAGCTGAGCAATGTGAAAGTCCAATTGCCTGTGGTGTTTGCAGGGCAGTGTGATACACATACTGTAGTCTGTGTCCTGTCCTTCATGTTGTAATATATGTGTCCTGTGGTTTTCCTCTGCTGGTGTTACTTTGGGGTTCAGTATTAAGTCAAGTCACTGTAACTTTAATATTCACTTAACAAACTGTGGGTACATAACTTGTGATTCAAGAATAAATGAAATCAGACATAATTAAAAGGGAGTGAAGGGTTTAACAAATGTTTCATGACATTTGAAGCTCAGCCAATCCATCAGAAAGACATCTTCATGAATCATATTTTCTTCATCTGTCACCACATGTTTTATAAAAATTGTAGTGGACCAAAAATTTCCCAGGGTGGGTTTTTTTAGAATCATGACATCATGTAAAAAAAAAACTAAAAAGTCTGCTGACAATGCCAAAATGAAACTCCTGTAAACGTTTAAATAGTGCCTCCTGGACTGCCCAGTTATTCATTGCCAGGGAGGATTCAAGCAGCAGTGAGAGAGATGGCTGAAGAGTTAATACTTTCATACCTCCAGGACTTCATTCCTGACACCATCAGCCAGAAGAGCAAAATCCTGGCTGTCCGATTCCTGAAGCTGGTGTTCGGAGTCTGGAATGACACCTGCAAGCTGCTCCAGGACATCGATGGCAAAGAGTTCAAAGTGGACCGCTGGATACGGGCAGAGGGTCAGTGCTCTTGTCATCTCACTCATACTGCCTCATCGCGTACAGTTTGCTCATTTTCTGCTCTGTTTCTGGTGAGCTGTAGTCTTCATGCAGGTGTTTTAGGAAAACACACTTG